AGGAATTCACTTCATTCCATTTGAGGTTACTAAATCAACTTGGTATGTTTCCATTTTGCTGAGCAAATGGTGATTTTTTTTTTTAATGATCTGACTGGGGCCAGTAAGCAGAGTTTGACACTCATGTTTCTTACATTTCTGTTCTGGATTTCCCACATCACATTGGTAGTTCTGACACTGTGGTTACAAAGTCCCCTATGCTGATTATTAATGCTTTCACTTGTATTAAGTCTTGTTTTGCTTTGCCCTTTCCTGATCTTCTCCATCTAAGTTTAGATTGTAAATTCCTTGGGGAAAAGTACTGTATTTTACATAAGTCATGCCATAACCTCATTTACTGACAGCAGGAGATGAAATGACCATTTCATTACAGGGCTGCTGACTTTATTGATCCTTATTAGAACGTTTTTCTTCATCCTGTGAAACTTTCACCCTTAAACTATCACCTGATAGTTTCTGTAGTGAAATCAATGTCACTGCAGAGAAAACAGCAGGTTAAGTTACATTTCTCTGATGAATTGGAAAGACTCGGCCATCACCATCAACAACAAAAACATAGTTTTCAGAAATAGTTCTACATTTACAGCCACAACGATTGGATATCTTAGTGATAACCAGATCTTTCTTGTCCATTTTCTATCTACCTATCATCTCCATTTTATGAGAAATTATTGGATGGCTTAAATATCAGCATTTTAGTTAGGAGACAAATATCTGTAAGAAAACATTGCAAACCATATTTCCTCCGCATCTGTGCAGATCTGATCTTTTTCACGGCTGGAGTCTTCCTTTTGCCAGAGTGTCATCTTGACCACCTCATGCCAATTTGAAGCTTTCTTTCTTCCATTCTAATTGCCCACCTTTTGAAGAAAATCCACCTTTTAAATGTATTGTTTACAAGTTCCCAATCGCCATAGGAACTCATGATGTGGTTCAGGTTGCCCGTTTCAACATTCTGTTTCCTTGTTCTTTTGTTCTTCTCAACAGAATATTCAGTGATATTCCAATATCACCTACTGGATGATTGCCAAATCTCCATTATCTCTTTCTGACAAACACTTGTGTAGAGTGGGCAACAAACACTATGTCATACTTGATTCCCACAGAGAGATGAACAAAAGTTGCAGAATATGAAATCAAAATATCTGTTGCGCATTTGTTTTCTTTGTGGTTCTCTTTGTATTTAATTAAGCAGCTCTACTTAAGTAAGAGGCACAGTGGTTAGAATGCAGTATTGCAGGCTAACTCTGCTCACATTGCCAGGAGTTCAATTTTCTCAATCCTGACCGGCATATGGTTGACTCAGCCTTCCATCCTTCTGAGGTTGGTAAAATGAGGACCCAGATTGTTGGGGGCAATATGCTGACTCTGTAAACCGCTTAGAAAGGGCTGTAAAGCTCTGTGAAGCAGTCTATAAGTCTAAGTGCTATTACTATTGCTATGCTGTAATGCAGAATCTTTGATGTTGTGGTGTTTAGCATTTGAAATAGTTGTTCTACAGCACTGGAGATGGATAATCCACGATAGGGTTAACTTAATCCTCCTGCCCAATCAGATCAAGTCAGCCAAACTTGCCACACCTGTCCTGGGCCTATCTTCCCCCAGTTTTAGACTTGATCTGGCCCAGAGCAGACGTTGCAGACTGGCTCACAGGCAGGTAGCAAACCTTTCGTGGATTATCCATAAAATATTAAATTTAAACAAATATAGGTCCTTCTTCCACAGTCCCCTGAGCAGCGTTGGGCTCAACGCTCCTTCGGAGGACTGCTCTGACCCAG